TGATGGTGGTGATGGTGGTGATGATGATGGTGATGGTGGTGATGGTGGTGATGATGGTGATGATTGTCATGGTGAGGATGTCATGGTGATGGTGATGATGATGGTGATGATGATGGTGATGATGGTGGTGATGATGATGGTGATGGTGGTGATGGTGGTGATGATGATGGTGATGATTGTCATGGTGAGGATGTCATGGTGATGATATTGATGATGGTGATGGCCATGATGATGGTAATGATGATGGTGATGGGGATGATGATGATGGTGGTGGCAGCAAGTCATTCTTGAGCAATTACAGTAAGTCAGGCCCTGGGCTAAAGTCTCCATAAGCATTGTCTCTAGTCCTTACTCAGCCCCATGAGGACTGATTTCTTGTCCCCATTCCACAGGTGGACAGACTGGCCCTTCGAGGCCCTGCTGGCGATAGCCACAGGCAGCCAAGTGCTGGAGGGTGAGGAGGGTACCATACACATAGCAGGGACAGACCATGTGTGCTTGAAAGTGTGTCTTGACCCCAGGAGGCTCCCTGGAGAGGTGGGGTGGCCTGAGCCATGAAGAAGGGGGTATGGAGGGTGGGTATCAGGGCCTGAGGCTGCGCCATCAGCCAGATTAGCACATGCAGGGAGGCTGAGGGGTGATTTGGGGGACACGGGGCCTATGTGGGTGCAGGGACTTCAGGAAGAGCTGCTGCCATCACCGTGTGCCTGGGGAACCCTGTGCTGCCCTGGGTGATGCCAGTGCTGACCATCCGAGGCAGCAGGTGGGTTTAGGACCTGGTTCCATCCTGCCACAGCCTCCTCATGGAGCTGAGGGGAGACCCTGGCCTGTCCCACCTTTCCTGAGCCCCAGGAGGTGCCTGCTGTCACCTCCGGGGTCCTCACCATGCACAGGGTCTCTGTGTACTCTCCCTGCAGCCTGTGAGGTCCCAGATGGGCACTGGTGGGGCACTCAAGGCTGTGATGAGCTCAGTGCCAAGGACAGGACAGGAGAGGCAGCCGAGTCTGCCTGGCAGGCCAGTGGAGCCCAGGCCAGGAGAAGATGCTGGTTAGGAAAACCCAGGAGGGCCTTCTCGGGGGGAGCTGGCGCGAGGGAAGGTCTGGGGTGTGAGGTGCAAGTGAGGAAGCGGACGAGACGGGGTGGGGGGTCTGGAGGATCAGACATGGAAGCCCTCAGGTGCCAGACCAGGGAATCTGGCCTGGATCTCTTGCCCAGTCTTTTTTAAAAAAATGTTTTTATTGATTTCAGAGAGAGGAAGGGAGAGGGAGAGAGATAGAAACATTAATGATGAGAGAGTCGTTGATCCGCTGCCTCCCACATGCCCCTCACTGGGGATCCAGCCCACAAACTGGGCATGTGCCCTGACAGGGGATTGAACTCTGATCGCCTGATCCTAGGTCAACGCTCAACCGCTGAGCCACGCCCGGCCGGGCGCCCAGTCATTTTTAATAACCTGTCTCCCTGACACCTCCCCGCACACACTTACCCCCTTAAATGTTGTATTCTATAGAAGTTAACAACATGGCTTTGGAACCAAACTTCCTGGGCTCAAATCTTTGCCTTACCTCTTAAGGGCTGTGTGACCCTGGGCGAGTCACTTACCCTGTCTGTGCCTCAGTTTCCTCTTCTGCGAAATGGGTGCGACTCTGCCCTCTTCAGAGGGTGGTTGCAAAGGGGTCAGAGGCTGCTTCCGGTGGGGCTGAGGGGTAGTTCCGTATGTTGAAGGACACAGCCTGCGGAATTTGTGCTTTTTGCAAGATTGAAATCATGGCAGATCCAGAAACTGATGCCCAATTCCAATTCACTGATATCAAAAAACATTTCACCTCTTATACTCTCACAGGCAGAACAAATTGTGTACTGGCCACATATGGAGGTATTGCTTTGCTGGTTTTATACTTCAAGTTAAGGCCTAAACACACTCCAGCTGTGAAAGCAACATAAAAGGACTCTAAACTGTACCTCATCCGTTAATTTCCGATACCTGGAGAAGCTCATGTCAACTCATCATATGATACTCAATTTGTACAATAAATTATGAACCTGGAAAACAAAACAAAAATACACACACACAGAAAAACAAACAAAAAAGCCCACAAAGGGGTCAGAGGCCAATTCCTTGATCCGATGAGAGCGTGGAGTAGAAGCCGCGGGAGCTGGGGTGACACAGCAGCCACAGGGCCGGGAAGGGTGGGACAGGCAGAGGGAACAGCCCCGGTAAAGGCAAGGAGGCTTAAGGGGACATGGGCATTCTGGCAGCTGTGTGGCCTCCAGGGCCTGAGTAGGTGTCAGTGGGAGAGAGGAGGCCAGAGGCTGGGCAGCCAGGTCACGCTGGCCGAGGCCGTGACCTTGGGCTCCCATCTCTCTGTGAGTCGCAGCTCCCTCTGCCTGTGGCTCTGTGTTGTCAACCTGCAGGAACCCAGCGCATCACACCCAAGGCCTGGAAGGGACACAGTGCTGGGCTGGCTCTCAGTCAAGTGCTTGGGGGACATACTGGGGACGTCCCCACTGCTCTGCCTCTCCCTCCATGCCTGACTTTGCAGGCCTCAGCCCCCCATCTGTGCAAGGGGTACTGTGCAGCTGGGGTGCTCTCCCTGGGGTCCCAGGGAACCTCTTGGCCCAGCTGCCGATTCTACCTGGTGCTTGGGGGCCGTGCAGCCCTCCCCCACCAACTGTTTGTTGCGGTTCAGGCTGGGTGTGCCCAGCCCAGCGCCAGCCGCCTGGGTATATGGCAGCTCATTGGGAGGGCATAGAGAGCTAGGCTGGTTGTGATTATTATTAAATTCACATGTTCAGGGTTTTCCTTTTTTCTCCCCTCGGCCCTTAATATGTTGACTAACATGCGGAATATAGGAGATGTTCTCTCCAGCTTTAGAAGCGTAATGACACCGGCAGGTGGGAAACAGGGTCAAACAAATCACCAGCCAGGAGTGACCTCGTCTCAGTGGCTTCTGGGACATGGGGGCAAGGCTGACCCAGGCCAAGGGGCAGACCTGTTCTCTGTGGCCCTAGAAGGCAGAGCAGGGACACGGAGGCAGTGACAAGACGCAGGTTCTCATCAGCGTGGAAGGACTATCCCACAGGCAGGAGTTTAGTCGAGAGGCCCTGTGGCCATATGAGTGATGAGCTGCCCATCACAAGGGGCATGCAAGCAGAGATCTGTGGTTGAGCCCAGTGCCCTCCCCTTTGAGGGCTGCAGTTCCTCTGCCTGTGACTGATGATCCCCCTGGAAGCAGTGGGATGCAGGACACTCTCCGGGGGCGGGGGGAGTGTCCTTTTGGCGCTAGACCTGGGAGGACAGCAGTGTGACCAGCTGGCCTTGGTATTGAGGATTCACCAAAGCAAGCTAGTAAGGGGAAACCAAGGGCAAGCTCATGGTCACCGTCACTGGCTTTTCTTCTTATACCCCCAAGAGATGCTCTGCTTGGGAG